GAACAGCGGTGAGTCAGGAGCAGGAGCTTCCGGACTAACGATCCACAACAGCTACCACCGCATCTTCCTCAAAGAGCGGAAAGACTATTTAAATACATTGTTAGAGGTTATCAAACCTGGGAGATATCTGTAGCTTGAACTTTGCATAAAGTGTTTCTTTATGCTTAGATTCAGGTTATAAGTTACTTTTCGTTGCCAGTAATATTATAGTTCTGATGATGTGTCCGCCCATGTGTGTTGACACCTGACATCAATTTGTTCTAGGGTAGTTTATGTTAATTTCAATCACTTGGTTAAAGTTCTCTGTGCCAGATTTTTTTTTTTAATTATAAAGTTAATTATTTTTATCTTTATTATTCATAAGTACCTTGGGAGATTTACCAATTGATGTACGTAAAGTATCACATTTAATCTGCAAGCTCCCCTTTTTAGATTCTCTTTGCTTGAAGCTTGCTTTGGAAAATGAAGGCTCATCTTTGTTTATTAGTCAGATAAACTGGGGTAAACACAGGCTTACCCACTTACTCTGTGTTTGATAAAATATTCTTGATTTGGATGCATTGGTATCACTGGCTAGCTTTTCAGAAATTCAGAAACTCAGGCTTCACCTGAGATCACCTGAATCAGACTGCATTTTAACAAGATCTGTGGTTCATTGTTACATACATTAAAATTTGTGAGGTACTTTCTGACTCATCATGACTTCTCTCTATGAGTAATATTTACACCTTATTCTATAATCTGTAAACATAAAACTTAAACTGTATATGCCTGTGCTGATGCCCTTAATTTTTTTTTGTTTGTTTGGTTGGCAGGCTGTATTTTTCTGATACTTCACAATAAATGGTTGTAGATTAATGTCCACAGGTCTCATCCTCTCGTCTCTCTTCCATAGAGTGCCACAGGGATCCAGGCATCTCCATCTGTGAGCCTCCAGGGTCTCTGCAGAAGAGGAAGGCTCTATCCACATTCCCTTTGCTAGAGTCAGTCATGTGGCCACAGCCTAGTGCAAGGGAGGCTGGGAGGTGTGGTTTCACGATACTAGGAAAGCAGGAAATGAGAAGTGAAGGGGACCCGTTTCTAACATTTTTAAAATAAAAAAATGCATCTCTGCATACCTCTTGGGCCACAGGTGGGAAAGGCAGGCTTTGCAGAGAGGCCAGTATGCAGTGCTGGGTGACCTTGGGCACTGCACGCTGGGCACAGACTTTACCCACTCTGAGCTCGGGTCTTTGCTACCCATGTGGGGAGGCTCACTGGAGTTCGAGCTGTGAAGATTCAGTGCACAGCCCACCCAGCACCTGGCCCAGGGCAGAGCCCACTGTGAGCTCGTTCCACCCCTACCCCTGCATACCATGTTGCAGATACCAAGGGCATGGCCTTGCCAGGTACCCACTCTCAATTCCTTTATAAAAGGTGAGGGCTGGCTGAGTGACTGTTTCCAACCTGACACCCGTAAAGGGAATAGACGGGCAGACACTAGTAAGTGACTTTCTGAAGGACACAGCCAGCTTGTTGTGGGTCCTGTCTGGGGCAGTGGCATCCCTGGGGGCCACAGGCCATGGGCCTCAGCGCCTTCCAGCCTTTGAGCTGGCTGCCACAGCTCACCCACTGTGGGGCACATCGAGGTGCTTCAGGGAGGACAGGGACAGCCAGGGACAGCTCCAGGTGGGGAGAGGCCACACGAGTGTTCTTCAGAAGACAGGTCCAGGCTAATGGGGAGCAACCAGGGAGCAGGCTGTCTGTCATCACTGTAGTCTTCACCCTGGTCTCATGCCTGGGCTTCTCCAGTCCTGGCCAGTGATGGGGATCAGGCAGGAAGACATGCACACCTCAAATTCTTCTCAAACTGTCTTTTAGGGATGATATCTGGAGTGATACCCTTAATTTTATACTGCATTATTTAGACAAGTATCTACACTGGTTTTGTGGATTCTGTTTTCTTTTCTTTCTTTCTTTTTTTTTTTCCTTTGGAGAGAGGGTTTCACTCTTGTCATCCAGGCAGGAGTGCAGTGACGTGATGTCAGCTCACTGCAACCTTTGCTTCTGGAGTTCAAGCGATTCTCCTGCCTCAGCCTCCTAAGTAAGTGGGATTGCAGGCGTGTACCACCACACCCGGCTAATTTTTGTATTTTCAGGAGAGACAGGGTTTCACCATGTTGGCCACGCTGGTCTGGAATTCCTAAACTCTGCCTGCCTTGGCCTCCCAAAGTGTTGGGATTACAGGCGTTAGCCACCACTCTCAGCCACGTAGATTCTATTTTCTTTCCTCAGTGTTGGAGAATACATCAGAGAACATTTCTGTTAAAAATATCTTATTGGATAATTCTAGCAACTCATATAAGTCACAGCAATTCTCTCTTTTCACATGGAGTCAAGTTAAGAGCTCTCCTGGCCATTGACAGTTGGTCAATATGTTTTGTTTTATTTTTCAGGAACTGTTGACATTCAGGGATGTGACCATAGAATTCTCTCTGGAGGAGTGGGAGTTTCTGAAGCCTGCTCAGCAGAATTTGTATAGGAATGTGATGCTAGAGAACTACAGGAACCTGGTCTCTCTGGGTGAGAATAACTTCAATACAGAATTCCTATTTCACACTAAACCTTTTATTTTCTTCCTCTGTAGAATGTTTGGTGGGGGTTTCTGCTTTGTATAAATGAGTTTTAGATCCTTGCTTTCAAGGAAAACTTTGGGATTTGTTGGGATGGAGAAGAAAGTCTTCAAGATGCTTTATGTTTACATTGACTTTCTTCTGCCTTGAAGTGATGGGCATTTTTCACTCTAGCGGTAGTTCTATTTTTTAATTTTTTTAATTTTTATTTTTGTTCATCCAAACAGACCACAATTTTTTATTTTTATTTGTGAGACAGACTCTAGCTCTGTCGCCCAGGCTGGAGTGCAGTGGTGCAATCTGGCTCACTGCAACCTCCGCCTTCTGGGTTCAAGCAATTCTCTGTCTCAGCCACCTGAGTAGCTGAGACTACAGGTGCCCAGCACCACGCCTGGCTAATTTATGTAATTTTAGTAATGATGAGGTTTCACCTTGTTGGCCAGGCTGGTCTCAAATTCCTGACCTCAGGTGATCCACCCGCGTTGGCCTCCTAAAGTGCTGGGATTACAGGTGTGAACCACTGTGCTCAGCCTTTAATGGTAATTTTTGGAATTTCATGGTATAAAATATTATTGACTAGACCTTAAAGTCCACTTCTACCACCAATTTTTGATTAGTATTGGGCAGGGAAGCTGAATACTCCAAAATATAAGATAATCTAAA